GGTTTCGAATGCAGCAACAGACGTGACGTAACGTCTGTTGCTGTATTAGAACGCGATGAGAATGAAAGAGTCGACTAGTTTCCTTGCACCCCACGTGTAAATAGCACACATTTGGCTCGGTAGTTCTTCGGATAGTTCTGTCAACACGGTGAAGTGTTCCTTTCTTTTTCACTCCACCGAAAGGACCAATGCCGTCAACGCAAATACATGCGTCTTTCCTAATTCACAGACTGAAATAAGCAAAAAAAAAATCACGATCATTATGGCAATGATCATGATCTGATCACGGTTGTTGATCAGTTGTACATAATCCGAACAACTTCTTGTACTCAGCTGTACGCATTGAGATCTTTAGTTTGTAGCGTGCACTCACAACAAGCCTTGCGTAGTATAAGTAATGTATCGTGAGTGCACACAGCAATGATGTTGTTATCGTCTTGCTTTCTTGAGATCTTGGTAACTCACTGTTCGAAATGCTCTCTGCGGATTAGTGTTAAGAGTCAGAGTTCAAAGTTAGCTTATGATGATGCCAAAAAATCTTGTAGCAGGTGTGTGCGTATTCATTGATCGCTAGAAGCGATTTTTTGACATTACTGCTGCTGAGCGCCGCATACAAAGTACTCTCCCAAATTCTATGCCGTCGCCTGTCACCATTTGCAAGAGAGTTCGTGGGGCAATACCAGGCGGGATTCATAGGTCACCGCTACCACGGACCAAATTTTCGCGATTCGGCAGGTTCTGCAGAAATGCCGCGAATACAACGTGCCCACACATCATTTGTTCATAGATTTCAAATCCGCATACGACACAATCGATCGAGATCAGCTATGGTAGATTATGCACGAGTACGGATTTCCGGATAAACTGACGCGGTTGGTCAAGGCGACGGATCGAGTGATGTGCGTTGTTCGAGTATTGGGGACTCTCGAGTCCCTTTGAATCTCGAAAGGGGCTATGGCAAGGTGATGAACTTTCGTGTCAGCTATTTAACATCGCATTAGAAGGTATGGTCAGAAGAGCTGGGATAGACACGAGTGGCACGATATTCAGGAAGGCAATTCAGCTTCTTGGCTTCGCCGATGACATCGACATCATGCCACGGAACTTTGAGACGGTGGCGGAAACGTACATCAGACTGAAGTCTGAAGCTAGGCGGATTGAACTTGCCATCAACGCATCGAAGACGAAATATATGAGGGGAAGAGGTTCTAGGGAAGACGTATTATAGCAGGGAATCGTGCCTACTTTGGACTCCGGAGGACGCTCCGGTCGAATAAAATTCGCCGCCGCACGAAGTTGACCATCTACAAGACGCTGATTAGACCGGTGGTCCTCTAAGGCCACGAGACCTGGACTATGCTCGTGGAGGACCGACGCTACCTTGGTGTTTTCGAACGGAAGGTGTTGCGTACCATCTACGGTGGAGTGCAGATGGATGACGGAACGAGGAGGAGGCGAAGGAACCACGAATTGCACCAGTTGCTGGCAGAACCATCCATCGTTCACATTGCCAAAATTTTGTGACTACGGTGGGCTGGGCATATCGTAAGAATGACCCAGCGAAAATGGTTCTCGAAAGCAACCCAACAGGAACAAGAAGAAGAGGCGCGCAGTGGACAAGGTGGATCGACCAAGTAGAAGGCGACCTGCCGACCTTTCGCAGACTACTCGAAGTGTGATCATCGAGTAGAGTAGAGTGGAGACGACTTCTTCGGACAGCAGAGGACAACAATGCCTGGTAAGGTAAACAGTGCTAACCTCAGGGCGAAATTGTTTTTGTAATCAATGATTTCAAGTGCCGATTTCTCGCACACTTCTGCAAATTAACTATACCTGCAGGGCGCAAAACATTCAGGTTCAATGAGTCATTTTTATATGAATACTAGCTGAGTGTGCCCGGTCTTGCTCGGGATTCAATATTAGCTTGAGTTTACGCGCCGATTTAAAAAAAAGCATGCTATATTGTACGTAGCCCCCCCCCCCTATTATCTAAGGGGCTACCCCCTATGATTATCTCCTTATACCCCCACACTCGCCCCCACATGCCTAATTTGGTTCCATTTGCTTGATTACTTCTCGAGTTATGCAGAAATTTCTGTTTCATTTGTATGGGAGCCCCCCCTTACAGAAGGGGGTGGGGGTCTCGATCCATCATAAGAACCTTCCACGGCCCCAAAAACCCCTGTATACAAATTTTCACGCCAATCGGTTCAGTAGTTTCCGAGTCTATAAGGGTCAGACAGACAGACAGACAGACAGAAATTCATTTACATATATATATATAGAAGAAGATAGAAGATAAGCAGTAGACTGATGCAAATTTTGACATTTTCGCTCCACAGTGCTCAAACGGTTTCAAACCGGGTCCTGATTAGTCTCCCAAAATTTGAACTCATTTGAAAAGAAACTGACTTGGCACAAACCATTTGAAGTTTATATGGAAATTACTATGGGAAATCCAAACTTTTTGTTCATTATCTTCTTACCTTTCTCCATATTGCACTGTTCAAACATTCAAAAGCTATACTTATGGATTTCTCAGCTTCAACTTAGCAGAATATAGTTGTTGAGTTAAACGTCAAATAAAATAGTTATTAATTGTTTAAGAGAATGATAATCTTATGGCATGATCAAGCAGCTGTTTTGTGAGCAACACTGTATTCTGCAGTGTGACATAGTAGCCATGATTTTTGTGCTCTATTCCAAGCGCCAGAAACACCAATGTTGCCTGCTGAACAGTTGATTGAGCATAATCGTAAGACATTAGTGGCTTGAATTATTGATAACTTTTGATGCTTACATTATATTAAAAAGTGGTTTAGGACAAAGTTGTAGCTGAGAAAATTTTCTACGAGCTCAGTTATCATTTTTCAAAGCAGAGCTATATGGTAAATTGTAAGATGGATATGAAAAAAACATTTGGTTTTCCTATAGTAATTTCCATATAAACTTCAAATGGTTTGTGCCAAGTCAGTTTCTTATCGAATGAGTTCAAATTTTCGGAGACTAATCAGGATCCGATTTGGAACCGTTTGAGCACTGTGGAGCGAAAATGTCAAAATTTGCATCAGTCTAATGAGCAGCATCCACCTCATCATTCACTGCCTCGTAAGAGTCTGAATGATTGGGATGTAAAGGAGTCACTGACAGCCAAGCACTCAGTCAGTAGCTCAATCAGCACGTTTATTCTTCCGTGATGGTACCCAATACTTGTTTTGAATGACTGAACGTACATTTTCTATGGAAAAATGCCTCAATTACATGCTGTGTGAGCAAAGGCAAGCGGTGTGCGTCGCTTTCATTGCCTCGTCCTTTACCGTTTGGTACAAACGGTCTGCACAGAGCAATGGATTGAATAGTGCAGTGCTTTTACACTCAGTCTAAGCAGTCAATAATTTCACGCTCTGCATACCAGTTTAACCATTATGTGCATGAAACTTTGCATAAAAAATCAATTATTTTCTTAAACCATGATTTCTAAAACCAGGATTTTTTTTTAAATTTTGTCCAGGAAAACCGAGAAAACCTGGAATTTTAAAATGGAAATTCACTTGCCACCCTGAATTCGATACCACAATATTAGGGCAAAACTGCTTTTGTAAATAACGATCTCTCGCAAATAAAAGCTTACTTCTATAAACTAACCTAAGCCACTCCAAGAACATATTGCACTAACGTACCTCCAGTGTAGACGCGTTAATCCTAATTCTGTTAGGATTTATTTTTCTGGCCGTGTTGGGATAGTTCGTGAAGTGCACATACGCCACTTCAATCTCTCAAAAACTGCCCATATCGTTTTTGGATAGCCCCAATGAGATCCGTCAGAAATAATGGCATGGTGTCATATCAACAATATTTCTTCTTTCCTTGTAACGGAAAAGATGGGCGTGGCTGGCAATGGTAATTGCCATGCTTTTCCTGTTCTGAACTTTGATTGGAGAACTATTCGATCCCAAAAAGTTTCCCTAAATCACAATTAGAACGGTAAATAGATACATGCAGTTGCCAGCAGTACTGAGATCTGTCATTGTCATTGTTATTGACAAACTTTCGCGCGATATTGACAAAATTGTTTTTCACATAGTCACTGACAGACTTGATCCTCAAAAAAAAAGAAAAAAAAAAGATCGTCAAATTCTCATTTATTTTTCGACAATGACAAAGATTCACCTGGCAACAAAAAGTGTAATTTCGTGCATTCTGTGTCACATTATTGTTATCCAAACAGTTCAGGACGTAGATACTTGTTCACTTTAAAGGCACCATGTAATTGTGTGTAATTGTAAATCACACATGTTCGTCACTGACAGCATTGTCATTGACAATTGACATAGTTTGCCTTGACGATGACTGTTAGCTCAAATGAGTGACTAAAGCAGAATTGTCAATATCACCGTGTATTGTCGCGATTTTGCAGCACTGGTTGCCAGTCTGCAATATACGAATTACTCTGTTACAAACGCAACGCAAGACGGCGAAGAAAACCCTCAGATCAATCATGTAAACGACAAATGAATTTAAATACGCCAAAAATGGTATTAGAACGCTAATTTTGCAGAAACCCAACATAATTTTAAACTCAAACTATTTGAAACCGTATAAATTGAGAATTTCTGCGACGCCCTCGACCAATCTAGGTATCCATAGTAAAATTATATAGCGTAGGTACTCCTAAGCGTGCTTTGATGCCTACCTAAATTTCACACGTTCCTTCTGAGAATACATTCCCGCCGCAACACAGTTGCCCGGTTGATATACGGTAGAGCTATGTATATTATCTTGATGCGCCCACTCCGATAACAGATGATGTATAATTGTATAGTAAACATGCTTTTTCATCGCCTGGTCAGCGACGACGTTAAATAGGCTATATACAGATGCCCGTTCATTGACTTTGGCGACGCGACTTTTAATAAATAAGCAATCTCTAGGAGATACAATCCGTTATGGGTTGGTTTGATTTTAACCTATTTTCTCTTTTCTTTGTTTCCTTGTTTCAGCTACCGAACCCGGATAATTTACGTTGCAGGTAGGAGTAACGACCGCTCCAAACATGGGTTCGTTGTTCCGCAGCGAGGAGATGACCTTGTGTCAGCTCTTCCTCCAGAGTGAAGCTGCGTACGCTTGCGTTTCCGAGCTGGGTGAACTGGGCCTGGTTCAGTTTCGGGATGTAAGTTTGACTTTACGTTGTTGCTGTTGTTTAAAATTATCGATCGTCTAACTACGATTTGAATCTTTCCAACAGCTCAACCCGGATGTGAACGCATTCCAGCGTAAGTTTGTCAATGAGGTGCGACGATGTGACGAGATGGAGCGCAAGTTGCGCTACCTCGAGAAGGAAATCAAGAAGGATGGTATCCCGATGTTGGATACGGGCGAGAGCCCCGAAGCTCCCCAGCCGCGGGAGATGATTGATTTGGAGGCCACCTTCGAGAAGCTGGAGAATGAACTGCGTGAGGTCAACCAGAACGCCGAAGCGCTCAAGCGCAACTTCCTGGAGCTGACCGAGCTGAAGCACATCCTGCGTAAGACCCAGGTCTTCTTCGACGAGGTAAGTTGAAACGGTCCCGAAATCCTAGAGTTAGATTATCTTGACAGGTTTCTGCCCCTCCCCTGTATCTATCGTGTCGTGACTGATTGCGCACCCTATCCTTTGTATATAAACGGAATCAACCGTGTGAACTTATTTGTTGCGTTTCTTTCTACAATCACCTTTTCATTAGTTCTGTTTCGATTTGTTGATTTTCCCTGTAAAGGACTCTAATATCATACTTTTTTTTGTTTTTGTTGTCGAGTAAGAAGGTACAACCATTATTTAAATAACTCGAAATCGCGTCAGCTCGTGTGGAAGCGAGCCTTGATACGGACCGGATCCGTTCGATTTTCCTAGTCACACTAGAATGCATGCAGTTTTCCGTTTTTCTTAGGGTGATTGTTTCCTACTTTGATGTATCAATTCCAACCATTTTGTACAGTTAATTAAAAAAATATCAAACTAAGGTAGCAAACAATCACCGAACGAATGACAATTACTAATATAATCTATATCCGTTTCTAATCACTAATAACCATGCTTGATATAAACATTTCAATCACATAATAATAATAATCCATTGCATATATTTATATTAAAAAAAAAATACCTGTTGTAATAAACCAACTCAAACTATCATTAACGGAGAAACGCTGCCTGATGATTGTCTGCGAACGTTTGCACGTGGCTAAAGTGTTTGGGAGCAACATTTACGCACACAGAACACGGTTAATCGAAACAACTAACCATTGATTGTAGAGCATTATTCACAAGAGTAAGAATTGTAAACACTAACTAAACTCTCGGGAAAAAGGATGCAAATCTGGTAACAAGGTAGTATATTCAGCATTCATATTCCGACCCAGACAGGTGGTTGCACAGCTTCCCTAAGTTCACACTGATTATGGGTTCCATTCATCTGTCCAGCTGTCGATGAGACGAGCCGTTACTATAAACCCTAATTAACACCGGTGTGATAAAGATCATAGCACCTTTTTACGTTGCTTTTACGTTTTGTTGTTGCTGTTGTTTTGCGCTTGTTTTGGTTTATTTACGTTACCCATGTTTATTTTCTGTGTGTGATTAGAAAGACGGATGACTGCCTTAGGGTGCAAATGTGATTGGCAGTGGTTCATCCTTGGCTAGTTGCGATAAGCTTAACCTTCAGTCCCAGAGGATGGGAAAGATAAAAATATTTCTGGGGATATTCCAAAGTTTTGCTCTTCGAGTAGGCAGGGTATGACATCGCTTTTTGGAGCATCGTTCATTTGTTTTAATATACAATAATAACGTTAAGTTGAGTGTTCACTCGGCTGTCGCCAGAAGCAGGCCACTCTCGATGTGTGTCACGCGATTGTCTGTTTACTCGGCAGCAACCATTGTGTGGTTCTCCTCATTGTTCTCATCAGCAGTTCTTTCGATCGATGCGTCGTCGACTTTGGAAAGCAACCGTTTCGTCATGAGTGTATGACTGATGACCACTTTTGTGTCCATTGCTGCAATTCTTTGGTACAAACAACGTAAATATTTACCTTTTTTTGACAAAACCCAGGTTATCATGACGTTTGATTATTGAAAACAACTGTCATGATTACCTGAGATGTGTCAAATAATGTAAATATTTACATCAATTGTATCGAAGAATGGAAGCGCTCTGCCCCCGTTGGCGATATTGCCATACAATGAAACCACTGAAAGCGGATCCCGTTCTGATGGAGGAGGCTTATTGGATAGCGGAAGATAAAGTATTTTGTACTAAAGTTTTACGATGTTTTGTACAGTGAACAAGACTCCTCGGCTCTGTAAAGTTCAGTGATGTCATTTCACCCAAATGCGGCTCTAGCGTACGTATATTTTTCCACCTCTGAGGATGTATGGATTGCAACTCATGCGAGCAAATCACTACGTTTGCGGTGAGAGCACGACAATCCAAGTGTGAGAGAGTACCTATTGAGATCTTCTGTGGTGAAAATTAAAACCACTCTCTCTAGAGAAATGAATTTAATGTGCTCTCGAGTTCATTCTCCTAAAATCTCTAGGGGGTTTACCTCTCGAGAGACTTCACTGCAGAGCCCAATCTCCAGAGCATAGGTTTGAGCGCTGTTGATTGGTACAAGCATATTAAGAACAAAATGGACCTACTACATATGAGACACAAACCAATCCCTCCAAGGCGGTCATTTTCTAAACTGGCTTAAGTTGAAAAGACGCACCTGTGTCACTTGATAAGTCATACATGTAAACCACATAGGGTTTTTGATCTAATTTCCGTCTTACTAAGGACAACCCGTGCTTTACCTCTCTTTTCTGAACGAATTTAAACCAAAAATGGGATATTTATGTCAAAGATGACTTCTAAATTTATCCACCTTTCCATACGTATCGTTGGATTTGATAAAGAGTCACAAATTGTTGAGATATTGTTCAAAATCTAATACTGCTTCTTGATTCTAAATTCGTTCTACGAGTTTCAATTCCGTCCTAACGCATTGAAACGCCATTAGATTTTCTTCGTCCTACGGATAAACGTAGAAAAAGGTGATTCGCTAGGAACGCTTCTTTTGTTTTGAGAACAATGAGCGTAAATATTCATACAATGCGCTCTAACAGGATTTATGTTGTAGTTAATGAACTAACGCATCGGAACAAACCTATTATTGATTTGTGCACGGTGAAATCATTGATATTATTGATCTTTTCTTATCGATAGAACGGAAATGGGTGATTACGACGAAGTAGCGCTCTACCCTAAATACAAGAAATAAAGATCATTTTAAGTCAAGTAAGTCACTACATATGAGCGTTTCGCGTCGTGCGTAGGGTAACCATATGTTACAAAATTGATTCCTGGTCTGCCAGAAATAAGTCAGTTTTATTTGAAAATGTTCTATCTGTCAAATTTAATTTAAAATTCCCCAAATGGAACACAGCCACACAGATTGAATTCAACATGTGTTTGATTTTGACGTTCTGGTTCTATGGGATTTTAGGTATTTCATACATAACTATTCTGCATAACTAACTCGACGTTTCTGATTTGGTAAACAATCACTTCAATCGACGATTTGTGGTAACTGCAAGCTCACTAAATAGCTAGTAGGCGAAAGTTTCCCCTACCTGATGATGGTGTTTGTTTGCGTGGGTGAGTTAAGGCTGGCGCACAATGTATAAGTTTCCGGGTTTTTTGACAGATAATGCATGGGTTAACTGTGAAAAAACCTGAAAACTTATGCATTGTGCGCCGGCCTTTAGCAGTGAAGACAAATCGTCGATTAAAGAGATTGTTTACAGAAGCAAATGCGTCGATTTGAATAGTTACGCTTGATTTGTTTAGGCCGCTGCCATACTGAGAGTGTAGAGGCACGCGAAGCGTGAAATCGAATGTAAGGGATAATATCAATAATAGGAATTCTTTTGTATAGAACGTTAAGCGCGCCTCTTCGTTCCCACTATGGCAGCGGCCTTAGAATCCTATGCTGAATCTATGGTAAAATTAACAGGCTGCTTAGATGTTTCATGCTGGTTTAAATCAACGATTACATGTATCCTGATAAAAGTTGGGATGTAAAGGCTGTAAACCTGTAGTTTTCATGCAAATCACGTAGACTAGGTCGTTTCCAAGTATCAAATTGAATTATGAAGGCTAGTTTGATACCTTTTTCAGAAGTATAACGAGAAGATGAATTGAATTGGTAACGACTACAAATGAGCAATCTCAATTAAACCTTTGTAAATCATGAATTTTGTGATAGCGCACATATTAATAACGATTGATAAAAACTCATGGTCCTACTTTAATGTTAAGAAAAGTAATCATTGTCCTCCTTAATCTCCAAACCTCAAATGAAATGTCCTCCTTTTCAAGTGTTTGATATGGTAACCCTAGTCGTGCGTGTCTGTTGTGAATTTGGTCTGAGCGTGTAATTGACAAATAAGAAAAACTGGCTGAATAAAGAAAAAAAGGAAGATGTTGTCCAGCAAATTTTCAATAAGAAAAAAAAAAATGATATTAGGTTTTCTTATCGTGGTGTTCGTTTTATGATGAGGCTGGTAAACAATTTAAATGTGATTCTATGTCCATTCAGCAAAGGCCACCCACGCAAACCAACACCATCATCGGATAGGGGAAACTTCTACCTACACGATGATGGTGTTGGTTTGTGTGGGCGGCCTTCGATTTGTGAGGAATAGGCTTTGGAACGGTTTGTTTACAAATGCTGATGGGCCCTTTTCTATTGTTGATCCAGAAATGCACTTGCTCTATATCCAGAGGACCAACCAGTTTTCCCGCTCCAGTGTTCTCTGGAGTGAGCTTCTGTGAGTTCACTGCAGAGTGTTCTTGAGCTCTTATGTCGCTCACTAATTCCCACCAGTGTAGAGCGATCTAATCTCAACGAGCAGTTCATTCCAAAAACTACACACACAGTAAGGGTGTAGTGAATAATATACTGCATGTTGTGCTCTTCTAGAACGAACAGAGCGAGAAGATTAGAATGTTAGCTCTTGTCTCTCACAGAGGAGCATGACAAGTATGGTAAAGTTAATTCGATATTAAGTTCAATTGACTTTTTTGTTAATCTATCTAAAAATAGATGGATTTAAACTTGTATTATACCAATAAAACATTGAAATTTTCGAACCGTAGAAGCACACTCCGTGTTTTTACTGAATATATCTACACCAGAGTGCGCTCTCGGAAAGAATGCTTAAGGTTATGAACGACTTATAAATGGCTAAAGTATGCTCTATATTGCTCGTAACTGAAGACAAGATGTTACAGCCCTAATAAAAATAACCATAAAAGAGAGCTTAACGACGTGTTCGGGGTATCATCCAAATCATTTGGGGGATAGTTTACCCATCCGGGATACAGTTCGTTTATGGTATTTATTTATTAGGGAGGACAGGACTCTTGCATATATGACTATAGGTATAGACAGTCGCGCTTATTACTCAACCACTGGCGCTGTCAAATCCAGGCGCTTAATTTTGTTGCAATTACGAAAGGGGTGTCATAT